CTTCTGTCTGACTCTGACTCCACTGTCACTGCCTTGGGCTCTTCTGCGACGCTCTGTGGCCAAGTTCCTGCAAAACCCTTCTTGGCTATGGACATGCATACCGTACATCCAGTGAGTCTCAAAGGGCCCTTTCCCCTGAAGGAAAAAAAACAAAACAGTTTCAACATTCCTTTACTCCACAGAGGTTCACTGTGGTTGTTCATCTTACCAGCTCCCTCCTTTAATTATGAGTTAAATAAAATGTTTGAGGTGTCCATACATAATATTTATATGAGTGATGTCCTTTTTCTGGAAAACTATCTCTAACAGAGGGCACAGGAAGGATCACTGCCTGTCAGAGAAGGAAAGACATTTGGCCCATGCAGACCAAAGCCCACTCCCAGCCCCATCCGTAAACCCCCAACAGGAGGGGTTTGCACACCTCTAGGGACAGGGTGCTCAGTCCCTCCCAGGGGCCACTGCACTTCTTTCCATACTGGACCACAACAATGCAGATTTTACAAAACAGAACAGAAATAAAACTAAAAGAAAATACAACCCTCCCACCCACCACCACCACAGATAAAAGACTGCTTGTGCCCAAAGGATCTACAAACAGGGCCAGCAGCCCCGGCCTCCTTGCAAAGGCTCGAGGTGGAGAGGACTCGTGAGCAGGGAGTGGTTGCCACGGTGGAATCACTGGGTTCACACTGCCTTAGAACAGAAGCTGGACAGAGACAGCTCACTCGGCTGACTTCCAGCGTGGGCAAGTACCGTAGGGAGGCCATAGGCCATGTGCTTCTCTCTCTCCCTCCCTCTCACACACACACACACACACACACACCACCCCACCACCACCCAAACACCATGTCCTGCCATTTTCAGAGCATGTGCAATGCCAGCTTCCAGGCCCTTTTCTCTTTCCCATTTGAAGCTACTCAAACCTAACTCTCCTGCCCAGACTACCCCTCCTGGGCCCCTGGGAGGCAGGCTATGGCCCCTCCTTGGCTCCCTTGGGCCAGCCTCTGCAGACAGCCCCGGGTCCCTTGGCAGGTGAGGGCCGTCTGCTTCCTCTGAAGGCTCCAGGGGCAACTTCTCAGCGGTGTTGGCTTCCTGCAGCTTCCACGCCCTGCCCAGGCTCCCCCTTGGCACAGAATGCACACAGATCTTGAGCACCAAGTGCCTGAGAGGACTCCCCACAGACCTCAAAACCTTGTTCCTAAAGGGACAGGGAAGTGGGTTACTGACTTCTAGCATGGCTGGGAGCTTGGGCTGTGCCACATGTAACCCAGGTGGTTCAGCCCAGTGGGAAGTGATAGCTACTGATAAAACTCTTCAATAACTTATTAGCAATAATGTAGGGGATGTATACTAAATAATCTGGCCCTGTGTTAAAACACTTTTCCCACCTCATCCCATTTAATCCTTGAAACAACCCCATGTGGGGGTATTATTTTTGGGAAAAGGCTCAAAGGGGTTAAATAACTTGCCAGAGGCCACAGGGCTGGTGAGAAAGGTGACTGATGGTTCGATACCACCTTTCAACGTTACCAAGCCCTTTCATTTACCCTCATCTAACACTCCCGGAACCCTTGTGAAATAAAGATAATTATCTCCATTTTACAAAGAAAGAGACGGAAGCATTAAGGCGTTTGGGGTGTTTTGTCTTTGAGCCCAAACACAGGATCAGTCCTCCTCCCAGGCCAGCACAGGCCCTAACCCCAGGACCTGCCTGGCACTGGAGGAAATGGAAGGTCACCCACAGTCCCATCCCTGTCTCCAGTGGGCAGGCACTCTCAGACCTGAGACCACCTGCTCCCTCCCCCACTTACCCTGGGTCCACTGGACATGTGCCATGTGCCTGGCGCTCTGGGGCAGTGGCCACGCAGGCAGGCAGAGCCCACCAAACTGGGTGCTGCCTTTTCCAGGAGCAGGAGCAACCTGCCGTCAAGGGCAGGCAGTGAGCTGTCTGGACCCCAAAGCCCCACTGCAGGGCACTAGGGCACTCAGTGCCAGGAGGCTTCTCCTGATGCCACAGGTGCCACATCCTAGAGCTACAGCCGGGCTGGCAGGTGGCAGGTGTCTGCCCAGGCTCTGCAGCTCACTCGGGGGCAGCAGTGAATCTCGAGTATGTCCTCACCCTCATACGAGGGTGCACCCAAATCACTGTTCCCACGAGACCAAGCTTCCCCCAAGGCAGAGGCGGAGAGCCCGGGCTCCCCTGCCCATCTGGCTCAGTCTCCCTGTGGCACCTGTGCTGTTGTAGGCCACAGGCTATGGGGTGGGGGTGAGGAAGGGGCCCTTGGAGAGATCTCACTGCTGCCAACCACCCCTTCGGCCCAGAACTAGCCTGTACATGGCAGACACTCGGGGCCACCTCGCCACACAGCAGCTGTGGCCCGGCCCAGAGTACCTGCTCATTCTGTATCAGCCCACCTTCCAGGACAACTCCTTTAAAACATGTTTTCCTTATAAACCCTTCTGGAAAGTAATTCCAATAATGAAATACCACTGGGTTTGTGTAAGCCCTTGCAAGAGCGTTAACACCGCACCAACTCAAACATCCATCCCCAGAAGTGCGGGGTCTGGCTGCCTGCCCGGTGCCCGGCCTCCCCGGGAGCCTCCTGCCCTGCCACGTGGTTCCAGTGAGATGGACACCACCATGCTGACCCGCCAGTGAGCTGGAGGCTGTTGTGGGAGAAAGAAGACAGGAAACCAGACCCTGCTGGCCTCATGGAGCCACTCAGATCAACCCTGAAACTCACCCCACCTTTGGATTTTCCAGCTTCAGGAGCCAAAGCCTCCTCTCATTGTTTAGACCAGTTGGAACGGGTCTGCTACCTGGGCTGTGAGCACACTCGCCTGCAGAGCACGGCTCGCTCACTGCTGCAGTCCTGCCTGGATGCAGGCGCAGCAGGGACGCGGCTCTGCGGGAGGGGAGCAACACCTTGCAGAACGCTCTGCAGACAGCTGCTCATGTGAGGCCCTGGAACATGCAGACACCTGCCACAAGGGCACTGAATGGTGGTTGCCTCTGGGAACAAAGGCATTCTTTACATTCCTGTTTCAATTGCTTTTACTTATACGTTTAAAAGAGTAGTTTAAAAGTCGTGTGAGGTGATAAAAGTACAGTCCAAGGTGAAAATTTATTTTGGTGCTTATTCAAGCAGGTCTTTGAAGTCCTGCTGAAATGGAAGAGGCAGAGCACAGGAGGGAGCAGGGGAGAGAAGCGTCTCAGGCTGCCGTCAGGAATACCTGCTCCTCCTCCTCCAAAGCTGGCGTCTCTCAAACTGCCAACGTCACCAGGACAGTGTCCACTTTTTCTTCCTCCGAAGTTGTCCCGCAGTGCCCGACCTACAGTGCCCACTTCGGGGTTCCGGAGGCACCCTCTCCTTCGAGAAGCCCGGTCGTGCTGACGTCACGAGGCGCTAAAGCAGCTGTGGTACCTGGGATTTCGGAGCGTGCCCAGAGGAACAAGAACAGCGCTGCCAGAGGCGCAGTCTGCCCGGGGCTGCTGGGCACAGGGAAGCACCTCTGCTAAGCTCTGTCACTGGGGACAGGTTAGCACAGTTTAGGGGCAGATGACCCAAAACTCTGTGGTCTGTGGACTGACCCTAGACCTGAAGATCACACAGCCACCCCATTCACCGGGTAGAGCTGAGCACCTGACCCCTGGACAGGCCCTTCCAGGACAGTCCTCGGGTGCTGGGACTACTGCAACAGGCCCTCCCCCTCTCTGTACCCCGGCAGCCCCTGCTGAGGACGCTGCGCAGGAAGAGACAGGGTGGCCCTCGTCTGCTGGTCTCTGACCCAGCCTCTTCCGGGGGCCCAGGGTCGCAGCAGCCTACACTCAGGCATGCCCATTGCCGTCCCGGTGGCAGCCCTGGCACAGCCAGTATGTCCCGGAGAAAAGGCTGTGTCCGAGTTCTCACCGCCTGCACAGAAAGCCCTCACTTTGCAGAGCCAGGGCCTCCAGTGCAGGGTGGGGCTGAGCTCCTGGGGGTGACACCGTGCTCTGCCCCACAGGCCCCCAAAACAAAACCTGGCACCCAAATCTAGGTGCAGAGGCGAGGATCAGCACACTCTGCCTTTCTGTGAATGCCGCTGGCCTGCCACAGAGCCTAATCAACAGTCCAATCTTCAGAGAACTGCTTCTCAGGCTTGTCCCCCCATCCCCTCCCGCTGTGGTTTTGCTCAGCAGGAGCCAATCAGAGCTTCTGAATTCAGGGCTGGCAGGCACCAAACCGCCCATTTTACTTGCAGGTACAGGGTCTCAGATCCTTGGCAGAAAACTCACCTTCTCCAGGTCTCAGGTTTGGGGCAAATGGCTTCCTCAGAGCTGTTCTGGGGACTGAACGAGTTTATTCACCATTAAGTACTCTGAGCTCCTTCTGTTCCAGAAAGATTCTCCATCCATGAATCCGTCTTGTTATTCATGTGGGGAAACTGCTCCCAGGGTGCACCAGCCCTGCCCTGTGGGCAGTGGGAGCCCCTGGAGCCTGGCGAGTTGGGCACTGGCACGTGTGGCCAGAGACATGACGAGGATGGTGGGAGAGGGTCAAGCCTGGGTCACAGAAGTGGGAGACTCCGAGGAGGGGGTGGTCCAGAGGACAGGGTGCTGCAGAGGCTTGGTGACGGTGACTCGAATTTGGTCAAGTGGGCAAAGTGGTGGGTTGTGGTGGGGAGGGCTACAGACAACCCAGACGGGAGTGGCCTAGGAGAGAAGGGGGGAAGGCGAGAGGGTCCAGGCAAGCTTTCTGGAATGAGGATACGTGAGATGGTGTGAGAGGGAGAGGAGGTGGGGAAGAAAATAAGGAAGGACACTGACCATTAATGCGGGCACGGGGGCTAGGAGGGGAGTGCAGAGGTCCCATCGTGGCCTCCATCCCAGTCTGAGAGGACAAGGGTGGGTGGGGGTTCAGGGCAGGCTGAGTAGGGAGCGACCAGAGGGCGGCCCTGGCTCTGTGCAGACAGAGCCCATTTGTTGGAAACCTCTATGTGTGCGTCCCTTATCTTAGGCCTCTTTTCTAGTCTCACCCAACTACTCGAGAGTCAGATGAGATGGCTAAAAACGGCCCCAAAGTTGTATAAACTAACTGGAAAACAAACCCAGCTCTAGACTTCCCTGTGAATTGGGCTGTGGCCTGTGAAGAGAAAAGGGGGTCATCCTCCAGGTCTACTTGGATAAACATGACAGCAGGAGCCGAACAGGAGCTGCTGGTACCCACACCGGCAGGGGATCTGGGGCCATCAACTTCCCTGCGGCAGGCTGGGCAGGGACCTGGTGAGGTGGGCACAGCACTAACCCCCCCAGAGGCCAACAGGTCCGAGAACACAGCTTGTGCAGCAGGACTAGGTCCAACTCAGTGCCCCAAGCTATTTGACCTGGACCCTACTGCCTGGGGCTGGACAGAGATAACCTAAACTAGCATCTCCTCAGGCCTCCGAGGCCCAAGCTCTGACACCCTATGCTTGCAGCCGGGCAGAGCTAAGTCACAGGCTGGCCTGCGCCAGAGACAGCCTCCATACTACAGTAGCTGCGAGCGGTCACAGAGCCTAGACAACCAGAACACAACTCACTGCAGACTGTGCCAACAGTGATGGCCTTGACCACCTGCCCTCCTGGGTGTCTGCCACACTCTGTCCCGCTGGGTGTGGGTTCCCTTGGCAGCTGAGGTTACCACTGAGATGCTTAATGCCGTCTTGATGTGACCCAAAACAAGAACCACCAAAACAACAGCATTATTATAAAGATATATTCCATAAAAGAGTTTGGCAGTCAGAGAAAAGCATCACGCTTCCTAAAAACACAAGCATTCTTCTTCGCCTAGTCTAGAGAAAAAATTGTAAAAAAAGGAAAAATATTTAACAATACCATCAACAAACACCCACCAGCATACAGCACAGCAGCATGTACACGCCAGCCAGTCAGTGAAGGCAGCACTCAACCCCGAACAACGAGGACAGAGCTGGTATGCCGCCGAGAGCCGCATTAGGAAGGAGCCAGGCCAAGCTGCGGGGATGCCCAGCTGGCCCGGGGACTCACACACAGAGACTTCACTTCCAAGAGCAAGCCCAGAATAGCCCTGACAGAAGGGGTGGACGGGGTGACCACAGATATCCCGGTCGGGGATGGGGGAGTCACCTCAAAAGTTAGCAACAAAATGTCCCGAGTTTCTCAACAGCTGCAGGCCAGGGTCTGCGGCGGACACACAGGACTGGCCGCAGAGCTTCTCTCTAGGGACAGGCAGTGCTGGGCTGGCCAGCCGGCCCTTAGCATGTGGCCTCGAGAGGAGCTCTGGCTGAAGGTTTCAGGCTGGCTGACTGACTGGGGCTCCCTGGCCTCGCCGTGGGGGGAGTCAATATTCAAGTTCCGGGTGACAGTTTCAGTAGCACCAAGAGCAGAAGACAGTGAGGCCAAGCTGGGGAGGGCAGTGGGTGTGCGCACTAGGGCGCACCGAGGAAGGGGCCGCGTGTATTCGCACCTGGGTTGTCGGGGATGGAAAAGAGAAGCTGATGGGCTGGTTCTGGAGACACTGGAGGGAGCTAGGGAACGGCTCAGTCCCAGACGTGCAAGGCTGCTCAGAGGTGAGCCAGGGGAGATGAGGAGATGCTGTGAGAACATTCTTGCCCCTATAAATAAATTATTTACACACTACTTGAAAAGGAGAGTCCACTCTCAGAGAGCCATGCCCATGGCCCTGTGCCTTCAGGACGCAGTGCTGTTGAGACTGGAGGCCACTCTGGGCTGGGAGGCAGCAGATCAGGCACTCTGCGGACCCAGGCCCGGCTCACTTCACCCGGACATGGCCGAGCATCCCGAAATGCCCTGACTCGGGCAGACACTGCAGGGCTCCGACGTCCGCTTGGTCCCCTCCCCTCCCCAATTACAGGCGGCACCCCTATGCTGCTGGGAGAAGCCTTGTTACGCCTGCTGCTCCCCTACTCATGTCCCACTCACAGAAGACATGGCTGCCTCTGGGCCAGCAGCCGCCAGTAGTGAAGAGGCAGCCAGGGCATCTGCAGGCGCACTGGGCTCCAGGAGGGCGGAGCCAAACTTTCCTCGCAACCACAGGGGCTGGTAGTCCCTCAGCTGCCACCCCCACCTAGAGACACCCCAGCAGGTATCCTGGTCACAAGTCCCTTCAGTTAACAAGAGGCCTGTTGGTCTTCAGCACCAGCAAGCAGGATCCGAGGTCAGGTCACGCTGATGCTGAAGACGGGCTGGCTCTGGTGGGGGTCCGCCTCCCTCCCTCTGGGTGTACAGGTGACAGCAGCGAAGGGTCTGGCCTCCGCAGCGTGGCTCAGCTCCGCTCGCTCCCCTCCGTTCCTCAGAAGTGATGGCCGGCCTTCACTGCCTCAATGTCTGAGATCAGGGTCTTTGCCAGGAAGATGCCAAATATCTGAAACAAAGCCAGTGGGGCAGCAGCCGTCAGTGTGGGAACACAAGGGGAGGAGTGGGTTCAGAGGGCGGGCAACGCGGGGTGCTGCACACACTTCCACTCCGTCCCGACATGCCACGGGCATGTGGCAAAACAAGACCAGCCCACCAGTAAAAGTGAGCCCCAGGGTCCATGTTGCTATATCCCTAGAGCCGTAAAGGGGTAAACAGAGGGCACCACCCAGCCTCCAACACCAACAGGCACATCACCCATCACAGGCTGGGACACCTTATGCCTGAGGTTAAACAACAAGAAAAAACAGGGTCACCCTGACTGGTTCTGTCCCCAAATAATAAATCCTGAACATTGCCTGTAAACCTGGATTCCAGAATAAAAGCAAGGTTGTCCCTGATTCTGACCGTGCTGGTAACTGAGGTTACGCCCTGACCTTGGCAACCAGATAATTGTATGGTAACACAGATGTTTTCTACCAAGAACAGACTAATATGAACCTGGTCACCTCTACAGAACTTGGTAGTTATCATGTCAAAATTTCAAAATTTTGGGGTGTTTTCCCTCCTTTAAATTCTGTGGTTTATATTTGATGAGCTGGTCCTTCTGAACTGATTCTTTTGCTGGTAAATTGTTTCTTTCCTTTTCTGGATGCTTCTGTCTCTCAGCCTTCCTTTGAGATCACTAACACGTGCCTGCTGAGGGAAGGAGGAAGTAGAGCAGGTGGGTGGGACGGGAGGCCCAGGTCCACCTGTCCTCTTCGAGGCCAGGCCAAAGCCGAACAGCCCCTACACGGTGCGTCTCCCTCACGCAGCAGCTGTCCTGGACGTGCTCGGGCTGCCGGCTTCTCCCCCGAGCTCTGGGCATGCTGGGGAAACTCCTGGTTTGTAGGACTCACTGAATTCTTGACTTTCTCCTGCCAGTTCTTCTCTGTCAGACACTTGCCAGTCTGCTCACCCCAAGTCTCACTGCCCCCTGGGCCACCATCACGTTCCCACCCGTGAAATCGGGGTCACATGGACAGGTGCAGCCCGCAAGGGGAAGGGAGCCGCAGGGGCAGGGGAACAGACCTGCAGCAGTGAGATGGCGATGAAGATGCCGGCCACGATGTAAATGTTCCGCGGGAGCCAGCCCTCCAGCGCCTGGATGCAGCCTTTCGTGAAGATGTACTCGTCCCACTTGCTCTTCGGCTGCAGGAAGACACCACAGTAGCTGAGCCCACGACCTGAGGGACACCTACCCCCAACCCCCATGCAAAGGGCTCCTGAAGGGAGCAGGGAGGCAGGTGCCAAGGGCAGAGAGAACCCTCCAGGAGAAACCTGGACTTATCTCAGTCTCTGCCCCAACCCTGGGCAGTTTGCATGAATAACCTGACCCTCATCCTATTTCTGTTTGGACCCCCCAGATTTAAAGACCAGCCTGTGCAACAACACCTCCAGAGCCCACATCTGGAGAAAGAGGAGGGGCTTGAATGCTTAGAGAAGGAAGTTGTGTCTTCACAGAGAGAGAACCTGGGAGAAGGGGTTCAGTGTCTTCAAACCAGAAGAGTTGGCTGGAGAAGGAAGGAACAGTGGCTTCTCGGAGTGTGTCTCTCAGCCCAAGTAAGCCTGGCTTCAGAAGCCAGAGCCAGCAGGGACAGTCACAAGCCCTGGATTCCAAAATAAACCCAAGGTTGTCCCTGATTCTGACTGTGCTGGTCCCAACCCCTAGCGGAGGCTGGGTAGGCACTTGGGGATCTCATCAGAGTATGCACACCCCACCCTAACCACCCTCACCCTCACCCATCAGCCTCTACTGTGGCATCACGGATGAAACATCAGTTTACACTAGAGGTGCTAAGGGCTGAATTATGTCCTCCTGAAACTCATGTTAGCCCCAACTCATGAAAGCCCTAAGTCCCAATACTGACTGTATTTGAAGATAGGGTGTTTAAATAGGTGAATCAATTAAAACGAAATCTTTGGGGTGGGTCCTAATCCAATATGACTGGTGTCCTGATAAGAAGAGGAGATTAAGACAACAACACACTGAGGGAACACTGTATGAGGACACAGGGAAGAGGAGGCAGCCGTCCACAAGACAAGGAGATAGGCCTCGGAAGAAACCAACCCTGCAGACACCTTGACCTTGGACTTCTAACCTCCAAGGGACTGAGAAAATAAATCGTTGCTTAAGCCACATAGTCTGTGCTACTGTGTCATGGCAGCCGGAACACCTCACACAAGTGGCAATTAAATCCACAGCTGGAGGAGCTGCTGTTGACAAAGGCCCATCTGTGCAATGGAGGTCAGTTAGGACTTGGGTTTCCAGACCAGAGTGCACACCCCTAGTGCCCACGGCCAACAGGACGGCTGTGCGTTCACCAAAGGCCACCAGAGCAAAGGCTGGGACTGGCTTCTCTTCCCATCCCCGTGCACACGCCCGCAGCCTGCAGGAAGCCCAGAGGACTGTCCTGCTTCCTTGCTGTCACCACTGCCTCCACATGGCAGCTGGACCAAGTCTTAAGCTCCTGCAGCTTCACCCTGAACCCCTAAATAATAGACACCTCCAGGAGCTCCAAGAATGTTCTTTAAAAATGTAGTCTTTCGCCCTGGCCAGTTTGGCTCAGCGGTTAGAGCGTCGGCCTGCGGTCCGGAGAGACCCGGGTTCGGTTCCCGCTAAGGGCACGTACCTCAGTTGCAGTTTGTCCCCGGCCCTGGTTGGTCGTGCGGGTGGCAGTTTCTCTCTCTCTCTCCCTTCCTCTCTCTCCCTCCCACTCTATCTGTACAAAAAAATGGAGAAATATCCTTGGGTGAGGATTAAAAAAAAAGTAGTCTTTCTTCCCCAACACTCCTGTCTGCCTCTTCCCCTAACGCAGCAGCTGTGAGGTTCTCTGACTGCAGCTCAAAGGGCTGAAACCCACCCGTCACCACTCCGAGTCCTGCCACCAGCTCAGGTGGACAGTGCTGCTGGCCCTCGCTCCCAACCCCCGTGGCGCCTGAGCTTCACCTCCCCTGGTTCCCACTCCACTCTGCACTTGTGCTAAGTCAGGAAGTTGGACCACAGAGACCAAACCAGGACTCAGAGTTACATGGGGCTCTCACCTCAGTCCTGACATCATATCCACACTGTGTGTTCACAACTTTTTGCTGTAAGAAAGCAGAAAACATGAGTCATTTTTGTGCCCTTGAGAAGCTGGTGGTAGACTCTACTAAAGTCTCCACCAAACACCAGAAAACACCTGTACAAATTCTGTCATAGCTCACATCCTTCAGTCCTGCTGCCAGCTGCCCTTTCAGGCGCGGACGGTGTGCGAAGGGCTAGACAGCCAGCATTCCTGACCCGTCCGTGTAGCAACTGTGCAGCTCTGTCTGCCATGGTGGCATGAACACAGCCAGCCAACATAAAAACAACAGGCGCAGCTAGAGTTCAATAAAACTTGTTACGGACACTGAAATCTGAATTTCAGAGCATTTTTATGTGTCACAAAATATTATCCTTTTTTTAAAATTTTCAACCATTTTTAAGTGGCTAAAACCATTCTTGGCTCAAAGATCAAAAAAAAGTGGCAACAGGCCAGGTCTGCCAGCCTCCGTGCCGGGAGGTAACGGTCCTGCTGGCTCGCGGTTCAGGCACAGTGCAGACCTCAGGCACCAACGTGCTCTCAGCACACCCGAGCCGGCCCTCGGGCACCAATGTGTCCTCAGCACACCCGAGCCGGCCCTCGGGCACCAATGTGTCCTCAGCACACCCGAGCCGGCCCTCAGCGGGAATGCGCCTGCGCGGCTGAGATGATGGTCAGAGCCCTGGGCCCAGCACCAGGCCGACATGTAACTACCAAGTTCTGTAAAGGGCTCGGTTCTGCTCAGATTCAGTCCGGGCAAACATTCGGTAGTCCTTCACAGGTTTCTGAGACCCACGACCTGGCTGTGGACTGGGAATGAAAACAGGTGAGTGAGCAAGAACCGAGCAGAATTGCCTACCAGCCCCCACTGCCCTGAGCGCTTTCTCCAGCACTCATTCCGTTTGCAGAGAGCAGTAAGAGCACCCTCAGAACTGCTCCGCTCTGGGGCAGCACACGCTCCCGCCAGGCGCAGGCCCACTCACCGCGGGGTCCGGCACGCAGCAGGAGAAGGGCACGCCACACTTCTCACGGCTGTAGCTGGCACCACTGCAGTTGAAGTAGACGTTGAGATCCCAGTCTTCAGGGCCGTACGCCCCGCAGCACTGGTTCTGCAATCACAGACAAGAACCTGAGGGTTCCCCAGCCAGGGCTGCAGCTGCCAGCACAGGGCTCTCTCAGGGACTCGGGGTAAGGTGCACCTCCATCTATCACCCAGAGACACCGAGCTCCACCCTTCTGACATCCCCGCCTGCACAGGGATGCTGAGTGACCTGCCAGGTAGCCCTTCACAAAGGAAACTGCACACGATGCCTCCTGGGTCCAACACCCAGGGCTGGCTCCACAGTGCCCCAGCCCTGGCATGGGGCAGAGAGGCCCTGCTCCAGTCCCTCCTCAGGCTGAAAAGTTCCCTTCCTCCCACCCCCAGCCTAGAGCAGGTATCTCACTGTCCTCTGAGGCCCTCTGCCCCTCTGGCGTGGTCCTCTTCTATCCCTAAAAGAACACCTCGTGGGCAATACATCTTCCTCTCCAACAGATTCCCAAGCTGGTCCCACCTATCTTTATGATTCTTTAATTTTTTTTTCTTTATTAATTTTTAGAGAGAGAGAAACATCAATGGGAGAGAGAACACTGATTGGCCACCTCCTGCATGCTCCCACTGGGGATCGGGCCCACAACCTGGGCACGTGCCCTGACCGGGAATCGAACCAGTGACCTCCTGGTGCATGGGTTAACGCTCAACCACTGAGCCACACCAGCTGGGCTCTTTTTGATTCTTCACAATAAACAGTGGCTGAATGCCTACTCCCAAGGAAAGAGTCACCACTGAGGTGAACGGGACAAAACCGAAGCTCTGCCCTCACCAGGGTCTCTGTCCTCCCCTTCCCACCACCCCCGCTATCTGGCGTAGCTCCAAAGAGAACAAAGTGTGAAACCAGACGTGTGGAGCCCGGCGCAGGAGCAGGCTCGTTTTGCTGCAGCCCGCACAGCGGAAGTGCATACGGCGGCGAGCACAGCCGAGGATCCAGGGTTTCTACTGCGCTTACTTCTCAGGTAAAAGCCCATCTTCCCCACCCCCACCTCTCTGTGATTCCAGCTGCTCCAACACCGAATATTGCACCATTAGGAGGTTCCATAATTTACTGCAAAACTCTGGGAATTTCTGTTTTTCAAAGGCAAGGGAGGCAATGGAGAAACTACAATGTTTCAGGCCAATGGTGGAGGAGCCACCAGGACTACTTGTCACCAGCGAGCCCGAGACTCCGTGAAATGAGGGCGAGGACGGCAGCGACAGAAAGGGCGCAGTGAGGGACATGAGAAAACGGCTGGGATGGGGTGACTTTCACAGACTAGCACAGGTCACCGTTAACAAGCGGAAGGCTCTCTGTTCACGTGAGTGGGTTTCGCTGTATGCACCCCATGATACACGAAGTAAGGGCAAGCAAGTTTGGGTTGATGGCAAGAGCATCTCATTTATTTTCCCCTCCGACTAAAGTGTTCCATATAGAAGGAGGTTCTGACAGAGCCTGGCACTGGCCGCGAGGTGGGGAGTGGGTTCCTCCCGCGGGGGCCAGCGGGGGCCCAGCCTCCAGGTGCAGCTGCACACAGCGGGCACAGAGGCCAGCTGGAGAAACGGCCAGGCCTGGGGCTGCTTAGACAAGCTCCTGGGGACCTGTTCCGGGACGTCACATGCCTCTCCATCTGAGGCTGTTTCCTCCAGGCAACTCTGCCCTCAAACAGGAAGGGGAAAAGGTCCCGGGGAAGAAGGGGACAGGAATAGCTTCAGACAGTGAGTCACGTGCCCGGAGAGGAGGGGCCCTGCTCCTCAGTACCCACAGTGCCTACAGGACTGCGCTACCTAAGTGGCCGGGGCTGGAGAGTCTGGGCCCGGAGGAGGGAGGAGAGGCCTGGGCTCCTGGGGCTGGGGGGCCACAGGGACAGCTAGACTCGCCTGCCCAGTCCAAATGGGGGGAGGGCACATGAATAGCAAGCCTGGACCACCGGGCAGCCCTGAGGAAGCAAAGCTAAAGGGACCAGTGGCCGAGGTGGCCCCTCCAGGGACTCCACACCCCATGTCCCCACGAGCCTGGCTCCCGAGCAGCACCCAGACCGAACCAAGAAAGCAAGCCCTCTATCGGGGTGCGCCTCAGGTGCTCACGGCTTTCTGAAGGGAGTCGATGAGGTTCTGCAGGTCGATGTCGTCCCGGTAGGATCTGATGTTGCTCTCGAAGAACTCCCGGAACCGGTCCCTCACCCAGTCTTGGAATAAGAAGGCCAGCACGGCCACGGCCAGCTCCAGGAAGAAGATGAGCACGATGGTGCCACAAAACTGGGGGATGAGGCGAGAGTGGGGGTCACCACACCTCCAACCTACGGCCAGACCCACACCCTCTCTGACCAGAGACCCACATCATTAGCTGGGTGATTGTGGGCAAATCCATCTCATCGGTACATTGGACAGACTCCCCCCTACCACGTCATGGCACTGTTGGTCTGGGAGTTAAAGGAGTGAGAGGGTGAGAAAGCTCCCAGCCCATGCGCCAGCCATTTCCTGTGAAGCACTGAGGCTCACAGCTCACAGAACACAGCTCACAGCTCACACTGGACGTGGGGTTCCCTGGCGCTGCTCCGCTCTGGAGTGGGCAGTGTTGTCAGCCCCCACTTGGTGGAGCACATGACAGTCAGCCGCACAAGCCATCTCCAGAAGCACGGCTGCCCCTGGCCACGGTGGTGGTGGCGTGCTGCACCCAAAGGCCCATGGAGCCGAAGGCCCACACCTCCCCCCACCGCCATTTTCATTGGCCATACCGCAGTCTAAGACAGAGGGCAACACACATGTCGTGCGTGCACACACACAAGCACACACATGCCGCACACGCATACACACGCACATGCACACATGCGCGCGCGCGTGTGCACACACACACACACATCAGGCCTCCAAAATGGAATCTCCATGCACACAGAAGATACAAAACAACACTTTTAAGAAAAAAAAAAGGGAAAAAAAATATGTTTTGCTTTTTAAGTTAAGCCCAGGAAAGAGGAAGCTTGATCTAATAAACTCAACAAATATATGTTGCAAAACACAGTTTATGTGTTTTTCCTATCAGGTGCTATTTAATTTTAACTGAATGCATTTCAAAATGAATGTGTATCTAAATATAAAACTAAACTCTTGGTGACTCAAAGTTCTGCCAGCAAATTAAGGATTCTGCACAGCACATTCAATACACCCTGGAAGAGGGAAATGATTTCCTAATGTTACTGACAACATCTTTTGATCTTAGCCAGGAAGGGCAAAGGTGAGCAGCAAAACAATTCCTTTAGAAGTTGGGGGGGGGGGGGGGGATAAAATGCAAGAGAGGGGGAGGGGAACTGGCCTGTGGGAAGCCTAGTCCTTCCCTGGGAGCTGAAAACTAGAGGCCAACTTCTCTTTCTCTAGGGATCAGAAGCTGGCTCAGCAGATTGTTTCCTGAAATCCTACCACCTGGTGGGACAGCAGAGCACAAAGGGGCTGCCTCCTCCCCCACTGCTGGGGCCCAAAGAGGCCTACAGAGCTGCTACCAGTGCATCCAAATGAAGTATAAGTCTACCCAGCAGAGCCCGCCCACCCTGTCTCCCACCATCCCCATCCCTGGGGCCACTCACAAACTTGAGCAGGCAGATGTTCTCCCGCAGGGCCCCCACACAGCCAGCAAACCCCAGTGTGAACATCACCACGCCCACCATCAGCACCAGCACCACAGGGTCGATTCCATGCAGCCGGGTCACTTTGGTGAGGTCTGACAGCACCCCCTAAAGAAGCAGAGATAGCAGGCCAGGATCAGCCTCAGAGAGAGTCACAGGTGCCCTGGGGGGCTAGGCTGTGTATAGAACTAAACTGAGGACAGGGTCCTGCCTTGCATGGCTCAATCATCCCCTTAAAAAGCCAGGCGAGGCCGGCCGGTGTGGTTCAGTGGTTGAGCATTCATTCACCCGTGCACCAAGAGGTCGCCAGTTCAATTCCAGGTCAGGGCACATTCCCAGGTTGTGGGCCTGATCCCTAGTGGGGGACATGCAGGAGGCGGCCAATCAATGTTCTCTCTCATCGATGTTTCTATTTCTCTCTCCCTTTCCCTTCCTCTCTCTTTAAAATCAATAAAGAGCCCTGGCGGGTTTGGCTCAGCGGTTAGAGCGTTGGGCTGCAGTCCCAAGAGACTTGGGGTCAGTTCCCGCTAAGGGCGTGTACCTCAGTTGCAGTTTGTCCCCGGCCCTGGTTGGGTCGTGCGGGTGGCAGCCACTCGATGTGTCCCTTTCACATCGATGTTTCTCTCTCTCTTCCTCTTTCCCTCCCACTCTATCTGAACAAAAAAAAAATTTTTTTTAATGTCCTGGGGTGAAGATAAATAAATAAATAAATAAAGCCAGGCAGAGTGTGGCCCCTGCCCTCCCGCCCCCTTAGAGGCCTCTCTGCCCAACAGGTCCTTGCCCACCTCAGCCCTGCACATGCAGCATTCCTGTCTCCATCTAGGCTGCAGGTTCCTCCCAGGCAGACCCCATTCTTCTTTTGCAGCCTGCAGGGTGCCTCTGCCAGGCCTGGGGTGCAGGGGAGCCCTGAGGGCTCCGTGACCTGTGGTCAAGGCACCCTGTGCCAGAGCTTCACCATGGCCTCTGGACATCTGGCCGCTGACTTTGCACTCAGTCCATGGAGAACACCACTATCCTGAGATGAAAGTGTGAACCCCCTATGGAAAACATTCACCAAGGGCACACAAAGGCAGCACTGTGCATGAAACTTTCTGTGCTGATGGTGGTGCTCTATAACTGCACTGTCCAAAATAGTAGCCACTGGTCACGTGTGCTATCAAGCACTTGAAATGCAGTTAGTGAAATTAAAAAATTGAATTTTAATTTGTATTTCATTTTAATTAAATATAAGTAGTCACATGAGGCTAGTGGCAACCAAAATGGAGCAATTCTACAGGATTCAAAGGAGAGAGGAGAAAACTGCAACCAGACCAGGCAACCCAGCTGGGACTAGGCAGCTCGGTAACCAACCCAGGCCTAAACTCCCAGGCTCTGCAGGTTGAGCTGCTGCTGTTCTGGAGGTGGCCACACGGTGGCGCTATGAGTCATGACTTGCACCTGCTTCCAGGTCACTAGGACAAAGCGACACTGCAACTCAGCTCCTGACCTTTAGGAGTTCACAGGCCACCACCGTGAAGGTGTTCAAATCCAAAGGCGGGCCTATCCTGTTCCTAAGGCCATGGCAAGAAAGCCCAATGATCTAAGCACTCCTGCCTCCTCCTGGAGACAAAGGGAGGCTCCCCCGAAGAAAGAGCCCTAGGCCTGAAGCTCAAGGGGAAACTTTAGTTTACAGTTTCCTGCCCAGCCAGCTGGCCCGTGTTCCTTCTGTCCCTCCCTCCTCCCTCCCTGTAGTGAGGGTCCTGTCCAGCCCTCACCACTTCCCCAGCACCCACCTACCCAGAGAGCATGGGTGGCACCAAAGTCTGGTACCCACCCTCCCCAGAGTTCCAACTGCCCTTTGCCCTGGACAGTAAGAGCCGGGTCTCCCTCCTCACCTGTCCACAGGCTGGGCAATGAGGTGCACAGGAGCAAAGAGACCCACCCCGCCCTGCAGGGCATATACCAGAGCCCTGCTCCCTGATGCGGGGGTTTCCGTGGGCAAGGACAAGAGCTTCAGCAATAACACAGGGACCTATTTGCTCCCAGAGGCATAGACCAGGCCCAGAAGGTGGCCTCAGGCCTGCCCTGGACACAGCTGCAGACAAGCCCCAGGGCGACTTGGAGCTTCTGGGAACAAAGAAGAGGGCTATCTACTCACAGAGCTCAGACCAGCCCTGGCCTCTAGCAGCAGCCCCAGCACGGGGAAGCAGTTTTCACGATAAGCTCAGTAACTGTTTCCAAGAGCTGGCTCTGTCAAGATTAATGACTACAAATGATTACCTTGCACAAGAAATGCTTGTCAGGGACAATTAAAGCTCAACCAATCTGGTTCTGGCTGGCTGACGTTTGCACCTACCTTTTCACTCCATGCCCACAGTCCAGCTCCAAGGAAGGCAACTCCAGCCAACTGAAGGGAGGGGGGAGTGAAAGAGAGAGACAGCAGACAGTTAGGTCGGAAACCAGCACCATGAACGTGCTTCTCAGAGAAGGGCCCACACTGCTAGTAGGAGAATGTCAATGGCTCATGTCCATGCTCGTTGGATCAGGGGCAAGGCAGCCCCTCGGTCCCTACAGATGACAGGGTCTGCATCCCAGAGCAAAGGGACAGCAAGGCCCACATGTACCTTCCCTGAACATTTAAACAAACTCCTTCAACCCCCACAGCTCCATGCAGAAGCAAAGGATCTCAGAACACACTGTCCTGGAGAGACCATGGAGTAAGAGACATCAGGCTGTGCCCTGTTTCATCCCCATTGCACAAGCACCCCAACTCATTTCAATGCACTGTCTGTGTGTAAGACACCACCCCTTGTGACGGCTGCCCCAGGTGACTTCAGACTCCCTGGGTAGATGAGGCTCTGCGGAGGACCAGGCACCACTGCCAAAGGTACAGAGCCTAGCACCACCTTTGCTGCCCTCCTCAGGCCTCAGTCCTGGAGGCAGACTCAAGCGCAGACAAGCAGCTGTGAGGCTATTTGCTGGCCAGGGCCGAGCCTCCTCCCCAGGGCACACTTGTGCTCAGGATATGCTAGGTCATCAGTTACTAAATTGAAATAGGCCTGTGTTAAGGAGTGTGCCAACCCCACAAAAGCAGCAATCCCCAACCCTGACATCCCACCTGCAGGAACCCACTGGCTAGCCTCCTTCCATACACCACTCCTAACCCCACCCATAGACGCCATACACCACCTAGATTCGTGAACATGGAGGACTTTTCCATATAAAACAAAACACCTCATGGTCTGCATATTATGTAGCCTCCAGTTTTTCTATTAACTGTTGGCATTTAGCTGCCACTTGCCAACACCTCATGACAAATAACAGCTAGGTGTTTCTACGGCTCTCAACTTTCCGAAGTGTATTCTCTAGCTTCAGGACCTTCCGGCCTACTTTATTCACCGCTAACCCCAGGTAGCTGGAGTGGGAAGAAAGGGCCTTTAAAGAAAGTCCTGGAGTTCTTACCCTCTTTTCCAACAGAGACCGATTTCAGAAAATGTGTACATGCCCAACATTTTAGAGGGGATTTCCAAGGGTCCACGCACTTCTCATTGCCGGCTCCCTTACAACCTGTGAACCCCACATGAAGAAGTCTTGCGGGACCTGAACCCTCTAACTTACAAAGGGGAACACAGGCCAAAGGGCCAAGATCAAAATGCCGAACAGTGGCAGAGAAGGGCCAGATCCCAAGTCTCTGTTTAATCCATTCATTTGCTCACTCATTCGTCCAACAAATCCTGACCGACTACTACATTCTAAGTGCCAGGCGTCGTCTCGGGCGCTGGAGCCATGGCGCAACCAGCTGCACAGGCAAGATCCCCACGCTGCAGGAGCTCACACCCCAGGGAGTCCACACAGGTCCCTTCCATCACACTGCAATGACTGTCTCCTAGCCAGGCCTCAGTGATGAACAGCTGATGAAGATCTTTGTTTTCTTGACGGGGTGCATGACTACCTCCTTGCCCATGCCTCACACTGCACGGTAAATAAGCAAGTAAAGGTGACCAGTCACTGCCCACTGAACGCTGGGGCTTCCGGCTTCCTTCCCACCATTCCCCAGGTCCCTGATGCCTTACTCCCTCCTGTCAAAGCTGGAGGTCAAGTCTTTTCTCAGCTTATCTAATCTCCTCTGACACCGCGGGTCATTCCCTTCTCCACAGTCCACAGACGGCTGGGCTCTGGGACCACAAAGCACACTTTCACAGCTGTCTTCCACACTCCCTCACTCCTTCTCAGTCCGTTCTGTGGGTTCACCCTCCTCTTCAGAGTTATCTAAGTGCTGGCGAACCTCCCTGCTCAGGCCTGGACCCCGACCTTGCCCAGCTCTCTGGATGCTCTCCTACTTCACAAGGCTCCACAACCATCTGCACCGCATGCTGCTGACTCACTGCTTCCTCAATGTCTACTTGACATGTCCACCTGTGAGACCAAAGGACATTTCGATCTGCACATGGCCCAAAATGGAGCCCTGGTCTCCGACCCCCAACCAGCTCCTCTCCAATCCTTCCCTCATTAAAGAATGGGACCACTGTCCATCCACCCACTCGTTTAAGACAGAAACCTCGACCTCACGCCTGATGCCGCTCTCCCTCCAACTCCAACTTCCCCCCACCAACCCTCTGCTGGTTCTACCTCCAGAATTTGTAGTGTATTGGCCTGCTTTCTCCTGACTCGGCTCCCACCTGTCCATGGTCCACCCTCTCAGGGGCCTCCTTGCTGTCTCCTCACAGGTCCCCAAGCAACTAGAGTAATCCTTTAAAAACACAGAACACATAACTCCACTCCTCCAATGACTTCCTTTTACACTTACAATAAAATTCAAACTCAGCCCACAAAGGCCTACATGGCCCAGCTTTGGCCCACATATCCAACATCGTCTCCAATCCATCTGACCACCCAGCCCTACTCCCAGGCCACCCTGGCACTGTTACTAGTTCTTGAACTCACCTAACTCATCCTGTCTCGCAGACTGGACACCATTTCCTTGGCCTAGAAGGTTCTTCCTCCCTCCATTCCAGTCTCTTCAAATTCCACCTCCTCTGTCCTAGGTGGACAAGTCCCACCCATCAGTCCTGACCACCTTCGCTGCTTGATTTTCCTCATGGCACTTATCCAAGACCGCGTGAGCCACTGCCCATCAACTGTGTCTCTCCTGCGTAAACCCTCTGAGAGCGGAGACAGTTTCTGTTTGTTCAGGGTTGTATCCCGAGAACTGGGAGGAGGACTTGGCCTGGTAGGTATGAAGTAGACATGAGTGAGCCACCGGAGCTCTCAGACCAGAGCAGCCCTTGCCTGTGGTCCTTCCTGCTCTCCTCCCAGGCACAGTCCTGGGTCCAACTCAATCCAAATGCATTCAAAGCAAGAGAGGGCCAAGTAAAAGCCCAGGCTGCCCTACTCCAAGGCCAAGTTCTACACAGGAGCTTCAGGATCAGAGCAGAATAGGGCCTGGAGGCTGTCTACCCCTACCCCCAATCCAGTGCCCCCAACAAGTGTTCCAGCTCGCCTGACTGCACTCCATGGCAGCCCACCTACCGCCTGGCACCGCGTGGGATGGTGAGAAAAGCCTGCCCCTTGGAAATCCCTCCCTGAGCCGCGGTCCACTTGAGCTGCCAGCTCCCCACCACTGAGCACAGTTCTTCCACCACAAGGGCTGCGCTCACAGAAGAAAGGCTCATGCTTGCCCCGGCCGGTTTGGCTCAGCAGTTGGAGCGTCGGTCCATGGACCAATGAGTCCCGGGTTCGATTCCGGTCAAGGGCACGTACCTCGTTTACAATTTGTCCCTAACCTTGGTCGGGTTGTGCAGGAGGCAACCAGTCAATATGTCTCTCTCCCATCAATGTTTCTCTCTCCCCGCCCCCTCTCTCCCTTCCTCCCACTCTATCTGATGATAAATAGAAAAATATCCTCGGGTGAGGGGAAAAAGAAGAGAGAGAGAGAGAGAGAGAGAGAGAGAGAGAGAGAGAGAGAGAGAAAGAAAGAAAGAAAGAAAGAAAGAAAGGCTTTTTTCCATTCAGTTTTAAAGGAAGGACTAAAGTTAACTTGCACCAGATAAGACAGGAACTGGGGGTCACATGCCAGATCATGGGTTTAATGAATACTGGCCCAGGGCAGAAACTTTGGGGACCAACAGTTATTTTAGAGAGGAGCTGACTGAGAAAGAATCAGACAGGGGAAGTGACCTGTCTGGGAGCTCACGAGACAGCCCTGTGACAAGCCAGAGCCTCAGCGCTTCGCCCGCTCACAGAAATTCTCCTGCACAGACGGTCCGTGGGGCTGGGCTGTGCTCACTGGGAGCAACGGTTCAGCTGGGTGCCTCCCAGCTTCAGAGTAACCTTCCTTGTCTCTCTTCTACGATCTGATTAAATTCCCTCCCAGAGAATGAGGCCCAGCTCTCTCCAAGCTCAAAGGGACACCAGCCTTGGACCATCAGGCACGGACACCAAAGTGGTCGCTGTGGCAAGTCGCGCCACCCTTCCCTGTGTGCCAGGCACTGTGTTATCACTGAACACACCTAAAGAGGCCCTTCCATACCCATCACTGGCACTATCACCCCCATTTTTCAAACAGGAAAACTGAGATACAGAATGAATGGGTATCTGTCCAGAGTCACATAGCTAGCTGGTGGCCACAAGTTAAGACCAGAGCTGAGTCTCCCGACACCCATTATTTCACTGTCCACAGGGCAGTCGCCCAGGCTAGGAAGAAGGGCCAGTCCAGGGAGTTTTACAGAAGGGACTTCTGAGCTGTGCAACTCTAAAGCCAAGGGCCCCCACTATACAGCAAGTGTGTCCCAACCTGGGCAGGTGGCCACGAAAGTAGGGCCTCCTTAGGGGAGAGGGGGTTGCCACTGTAAAGATTCGATACTGGCCTCCCCACCTCGGGCAAAGGACCCTATGAAAGAAGGTGAGTGGTCCTTTGGGGGCATTTGGGGCCGGCCCAGCCCTGCCTATCACAGAAGCCACCCAGAATCCACTCACCCTGTGAGTAAGCCTGTGGTACTTTAGCCGAGGAGGGTCAAGTCACAGCAGAAGTGCAGACCCCTGGCCAGGCCCTGCTGGGCTGCAGGACGTTCGGAAACCACAAGTGGCAGAGCAGCCCCTCACCACCTCTATTTAGTGGCCTAGGCCCCTTCTGAAATTTCATTCTAGTGTGTGTGCAGTGCTTGGGCAATTCATGTGGGCCCTGTCTTTGCTCAACATGTTCCAGGTAAACCACCAGCAGCAACGCAACACTTTCAGGCTCTGCCCTACTGGCCTCTGGTTCTTGAAGTTCCCCTGGCCCATGGCAGCTAACGTTCACAAAGCCCCATCCCCTGGCCGCCTACGGCAGCCTCCCAGAAAACCAGAAGGAACCCAAGGAGGAATAAGCCACTCAAGGCAGCGCAGAGCAGCCCCGAAGGAGCAGGCAGC